CCCCAACGGAAACCCACACAAGCTACAGCACCCCCAACGAAAACCCACAACAGCTACAGCACCACAACGAAACCCACAACAGCTACAGCACCCCCAAGGAAACCCACAACGGCTACAGACCACAGCTCACAGCGCTCGAAGGAGCGCGCCGATGGGCTTCGCCCCAGCGCGTCCCCCCAAAGGGGGAACGCTGAGACGTCGCCAGAAGAACAACAAACCCCCGTAACACAACCGCCTGCACCGGATGCCTCAGCTCACTCGAACAAGCGCAGTGATGCACAGGTGGAAGCTGAACAAACGCGTTTGAGAGACCTTAGTGCGCTCATCTACAGCGACGCGGTGGAGGCACGAATGCAAGAAACTCCTCTGAATTCGATGCACGGCGGCACAGAATCGAACCGGAATGAAATGCGGATGCAGACGATATGAGAAGAGTGGACAAAAAGGGCTACTACTGTTGATGAATTCAAAGAAATCGTTGCCTGTACACAAAGGATAGCTGCGCGTGGACATAATCTGCGAATGAAATGCGCCTATGAATTTGCAGAAAGCCGCGAGAAGCACGGGTGTACCACAGTGGGTGAAGAAGCATATGTAACGTATTGCAACAAAGTCAAACTTCTTCACGACAAGCCCGCTATCGGGGAACGCATCTTTTATTGCTGGGAATATATGATAACGAGGTCAAAAGCATTAGCAAAGAAGGATAGCATTATAGCTTGGGACGGATGTATGATCCAAGCGAAAAATACTTGATGGAAAAACTATATACTTTTTTTTTATCGATCTGTTTTGCCTCGAAGTGGATCTCCACAGTATTCTACAACGATTCTGTAAATATCTTTCAATTGATACCCTGTTCCTTTTGATACAAATTTGTTCATACCGGCAGCAAAAGCCTGTTCCTTGTACTGACGCTCCGTGAATCCAGACACTCCTATTATAGGCGTTTGATCTAGATTGTGTTCCCTCTCATACTGTCTTATTTCACGTGCTACTTCCACTCCATTTTTGTAAGGCATGTCGATATCAACAAAAATGATATTAAATCGTTGCTTTTTAAAGAGTTCAATGGCCTCAATACCATCAGATGCTGTGAATACCGTAACATTAGGTTCTCTCTTCCAGAACCTCGTAAACATTCATCTTAAAATGGATTCATCTTCCGCTAACATTATATTGATCGTCTTACCATCAGGTGGTGGTGTGGGTGGTTTCCCAGAAGCATTGGCAAGAATTCGGTACAGTTGTTCGACTAGAGGGAAAATCTTATCTACAATAGATGATTCAGTGTCAAGGACAACATGTTCTGGCATAGGTCGATAGATGGAGAAAATCTATCGATAAAACATGAAATAAAATGTCTATATAAGAGGTAAACCGGCTTCTATCCTTAGAATACAGATCAGCCCTGAAAATGGAACAAGACCACCAACCCATTGATGCCGAGTCGGCTCTATATGAAACGCTACATGCCATCCTTGACAGGATTCAGCAGTCACCCAACACCAAGAAACAGGATAAATCGCGTCTAAATCAACTCAAAGGCAACAATCTTCTTTCCTTGTTCCAAACACCTGAGATACTCATTAGCAGGATCAAGGAAAAATGGACAAACGAGCATACATATTACAATTATATCAAATTGGTGTCAAAAATAGCACGCAATGCTACGAGGGCTGAAAAGGCAATGATCCTTCATCTAGCAGAGGATGCAATGGACGACCTTGACAGTCATTTTACAGACACATTCCACTCTCACTTCAAGAATGTGACATTCGAAAGGTTCAAACAGTCAAAAAATGAAGCAGCATCCCAAGAGATGACCCAGGAAGATATCGCCAATTATGTCCCTTACAGCGAACTCTTAGCAGGATTGAAAGTCGCTTTGACATTCATCAATGAGGGAAATATAGTGGAGCATCAATTTCTAATTGCTCTTGGGATGAACCTGGATGCAGATAAAATTCGTAGATGCGATATTTTCAAAGCGATGATTAGTGAAGACGCTAATGTTATGGTGAACAATGAAGGGAAAACTGTCTTCATCCGAAAATGCAATAAGACTGGTGAAAAGAATGTCCTCATTCAGATGGGAAACACCATTCAACCATATGTTAACATGTTAGCAAATGTCAGAAAGGGCAATGGACAGGATCGTCTTTTTCTAAAACCTGATGGAAGTATTCCAACCGATGCCTGGTATAGCGACGAATTTAGTAATGCTATGGAACGAATGTTTGGAAAGCGTGTAACACAGAAACGCCTTCGAATTTCAGTGGGGATGCATCTTTCTGAAAGGGATAATGGAGATCACGCTTATCAGAAGGAAATCGAACGTAGGATGGGTCATACCTATGCTGTTCATCAGCGCTATTACAATCTGTTCAAGTCATTTGTAGAACAGCCTAGGAATTAGTGACTATTTTCATAATCATTTACTGCATCTCTTGCATTACGTATAAGTTCACTTCTCGGCTCCCAAGTTGACTGATCACGGTCATATCCTCTCCATAATACTTCATATTCTACTACTTGTCTTCCACCGACTCGACGTGTTCTTTTATCTAACAATGCTTCAACTTCATACTCACCTTCTGGTACTTCCTCTTCATCATCTTCAATCTCAGGTTCAACTTGCGGAGCCTCCCCAGCGGCATCCTCTTTAGGAATTAGACGCAATTGCCAAGCCGGATATAGACCTGGCAGTATGTGATTAGTATTGACAGATTTGATTTTATAAGAGTTCATGTAGTTAGGGTGAGGATTAGGAACAACGGCTGTTATCTCATACTTCTCTTCAGAAAAGTAACCCATTTTAGCACGCCTTTTTATATCCGTCCCTTGACCTGATATGTACTTTCTGACAACATCACCTACATTGAATGGAGGTAGTACCTTCACACCCTTTCCTTTAGTCCTAAGCGCACGTTGGGCTTGAGCCGCTCCTTGAACATCTGCCTCCATCTCTTGTACCATCCGAAGTTTCTTACCACTGCCAAAACTTACTGTGGAATTAATGTTCTCTACAATCTGTGGCAACATACTCACCCAGTCTCTATTTCCTAAACGCATCCCCATGAATAGCGCTCGCTTTATCATGCCATTCATCCTTTCTACCTGTCCATTGGTTTGAGGGCTCCTG